ACCGTGCTGGGACTTCATGGCCACCCTGCAGATGTGGTGTCCGTCTTGCTGTGCAGTAGAAGTACTCGGTCCCTGCAGGCAGCCTGTCTGCTGCCATGTTACCGAGCGGGGCAGGGTTGGTTTTATCTCAAAAATAGAGGGTGAGATACAGTAAGAGGTGTACTGCACCCCCCCACACCTTATCTTTAAATTGGAGAGATGTGGCTTTGATAGATAGACCGGTAGATGGTTACGGAGTTGGCTGGTTGGTTGTGTCCAAAGAGTTGCAGTCAACGGCTCAGTGTCCAGGTGCAGATGGGTAACAAGTGTTGTCCCCCAAGGGTCTGTTTTGGGGCCAGTACTGTTTAATATCTTTATCAGTGACAGTGGAATGGAATGCACCCTCGGCAAGTCTGCAGAAGACACCAAGCTGAGTGGGGCAGCTGATGTGCTGGGGGGACGGGATGCTGTCCAGAGGGACCTGGACAGGCTGCAGGAGTGGCCTGAAGTTCAACCAGGCCAAGTACCAGGTCCTGCGCCTGTGCCAGTACAGACTGGGGGATGGATGGGATTGAGAGCAGCCCTGCCAAGAAGGACTTGGGGGTACTGGTGGGTGAAAAGCTGGAGATGACCCGGCAATGGGCGCTCACAGCCCAGAGAGCCAACTGTCTTCTGGGCTGCATCAAAAGAAGCTTGGCCAACAGGTCGAGGGAGGGGATTCTGCCCCTCCATGCCCCTCTGGTGAGACCCTCTATTGGAGCAGGTCCAGAAGAGGCCATGGAAATGTCCCAAGGGTTGAAACACCTTCCTTGCGGAGAAAGTCTGAGTTGGGGCTGTTCAGCCTGGAGAAGGGAAGGCTCTGGGCAGACCTTCTTGCGGTCTTTCAATATATAAAGGGGGCTTACAAGAAAGATGGAGAGAGACTTTTCACCAGGGCCTGTAGGGACAAGACAAGAGGCAATGATTTCAAACTGGAAGAAGGTAGGGTTAGACTGGACACGGGGAAGAAATGTTGTGTGATGAGAGTGGTGAGACACTGGTACAGGTTGCCCAAAGAAGTTGTGGATGTGCCATCCCTGGAAGTGTTCAAGATCAGGTTGGACAGAGCTTTGAGCACCCTGAAAGATACTCAAAAGATACCTGTGCCCATGGCAGTGGGGGTGGCTTAGATGATCTTTGAAGGTCCCTTCCAACCCCACCCATTCTGTGATTCTATATTGGAAGTGTTCAAGGTCAGGTTGGAGGGGGTTTTGACAAGCCTGATCTAGCAGAAGATATCCCTACACATGGCAGTGGGGTTGGACTAGATGGTTTTGAAGGTCCCTCCAACCAAACCCATCCTGTGATTCTCTGATTCCAAAAGAGCAAAAATGGCAGCTGCTGGGCAAGAAGATTTCTGTTCTAATACTACAGCGGGTTGGAGAGTTCTGGGTCGGGGATGCTCGCCCCAGGGCCCAAAGTTGCCCAGATGGGTTGCAGAAGGGATTTCCAACCTCAAAATATAAAATCTGGTGTAGATGAGACATGGGTGAAGGTGGTCCCTGGTGTCTGTGAAATCCTCCCGGCACAGCTGGAGCAGGGTTCATCTCTCCCATCCTTGTCATAGGAATTAAAAAGGACTGGGAAAACCCTACCAGGTAACGGGATGGGTCTGAGGAAGGTGAAGGTGCCATAACCAAGTGGTGATTTGGAGACAGGTGAGCTCCTTTCTACCTGAATTTGGTGCCAGCGCCCCTAAAAAAATCCCATTTTCCTTCAGCTCTGCCTCACTGGTTCTGCCTGCCCAGAGCCCCTGGGCTGAGCGCTGGCAGCCCCCTGTCCCCAAGGGGCTGCACACACGTCCCCTCCTGCTGTGGTCCTCCCCGGGGGCCGCCGCGCACTGATGGAGCCCGGTCTGTGTCTCGCCTGCTTCGATTTCTTGATTAAAATAAAATCATTGCAGGCAACACGTTTCAATTAGTAGGACTCTGGTGCGCGCCTGCCCCTGACTAATTGATATGATTTGCTGCAAAGGGAACTTTTGGGGCCGATCGATAAACTAGAGAGTGTTTAATTAAGAGGGAGCCCTAAAACTCATTGCATTGATTGGCTGCAGGTTTATCTTAATTAGCAGTGGGATGGTGTGTGGTTCCCCGCCCTGCACCCCCAGGAGCATCACAGCTTCCCTGGCAGAGCTGAAAGGGGGAGAGCACAGTGTTAATGGGGGTGGGACATTAATGGGGCTGTTATTAGCATGAGAAATAGTCCTTACAGGGGGAGGACAGCCTGGGGAGGATGCTCTGAGCTCTACAAGTCACCTAGGTTTGGGGGGGGGGGGGGGGGGGGGGGGAAGAGGTTGGATGCTGCTGGTCCCTGTGTTGCTCGGAGGTTTCTTGCAGAATGTGCTGAGAGCTTGCAGAGCCCCTGGCTGCGCTTGCAAGCGATGCCGAGCCCCGTGGCCGGGCTCACCCACTGCTCTCACTTCATTCAGAGCTGCTGGTGGTGAACGGCTGGTGGTGGCTGCCTGAATAAGTCTGGGTGTCTTGAAGTTTGCTGCCGGGGGACATCTCGCCCCCAAAGGATTGGGTGAGGATGCTGGACCAGCCTGAGGTCTGCAGCGAGCGAGTGGCAAGAAGTGTTTGGAGCAAGCCAGGAGCATCAGCCTGAGCCGACTGCCAAGCCTGTGCCACCCACTCCCCCTGGAGTGTGACTGTGCCTCAGTTTCCCCACTCGTGAAACCTGGTATAAGGCTGCTGCCCTGCCCTTGGGATGCCCTTGGCACTTTGCAGGTGGTGAATGCCGGGGGAGCTGCAGCCACAGACTCACCGCATTTGTGCTGTGTCTCTGTATTTTCCTTAACTTTAAGCAGGATCTGACGAGGCTGAAAAAAACCCCAAGATTTGCTTTTTGCGCAAAGGGAATATGCTTAAAGAACAGTCACACAAAGCAGCATTTTATCTGCCAGGGTGGCTCCGGCAGCAGTTTTTGGTGCAGTTAGTAGCCCTCATTTGTCTGCAGGAAGACTGTGTTTTTTGTCATTAATTTTGCTTCTTCTTGGGATGAAGAAGGCTTTGGTTCAACCAGGCTCTTCTCAGCTCCTTCTCCTTCAGCCTATCCTGGCTTGATGGGCTGGAATTGAGGAGCCATGCAGGTGCAAGCACATCTCTCCGGCTCCATGGGATGCTCTCAGAGACTCTTCCGAGCCCCCTCCCTCAGCTCAGAGGCTCAGCGGTACCCAAAAGTCACAGCCTTCGCATCCAGCTCCTGCTAAGCAGCATTGTCAACAGCCACCAGATCGATGGATGGCTATAAAACCCCAAGCACCATGCTCCTTGTATCATTTATTATTTACATTTCTCAATTTAAAAGATTTACAGCCCAGTTGTAAGTATTTCCAAAGGCTGTTTCCTCAGAGTGTTTAAATAGCGTGGAAGTGAATTAAGCTTCAATGCAAACAGCCTCGGTCCAGGCCCTGCAGGTCCTGGGGCTGCCCGGGCTCAGCTGCTTCTTGCCTTTGCATCGCTTTTAATTGAAACTGGGGTCCTGCGGTCACAGATCCAGCAGATCCTATCCAGGGAGTAGCGTAGGGAATGGGATATCACGGTCCTCAGCTCTGCCTTTGGCTTTCCAACCACTGGCAGGATGGTGCTGGGCTAAAATAGCCATTAATTAGATCCCTTGCTAAGCCAATTCAATGAGTGTGTGATACTTTATGGATGGGGAAACTGAGGCACAGCTGGCCATTGCACACACAGATATGTTAGCCATGGCTCGTCTCACGAAACACCTAGGGAAGGACCTTTGCCAGCTCATTTATTTTCCCTCTGTAATTGGGACACATTAAGTTGGGCTGGATGGCCAGGGATGCTGCGGGGCCCCGGGGCAGCCCTGCAGCTGTAACCCCCCATGGGAGCGTCAGGGAGCACCAGGATGGAGCTCCCCTAAACCCGGATCACCCAGGGAAGCTGCTGGTGAACAGTGGGGGGATGCAAAGCCCATTTTCTCCTGCAGTTTTCAGAATAAACTCTCACTTCTCTGCCGAGAGGCATTGCACTGGGAGGGGAAACTGAGGCGCAGTGCTGCAGGGAGGACTCGGGGCCCCAGAGCTCACAGGGTTTATCAGGTGAATCTGGGGCATCACAAAAAGTGATGAGACAGGGCTGGGCTGTCAAAAAGATAAATGTAAAGAGGTTTTTAGGTTTGCAAGGCTGCTGGAGACACAGCTCCCTGCAGCCCTGTCCCTGCACCCTCAGGGACTGTGGCATCCGACACACCCTGAAGTTGCCTAAAAGTTCCCTAAAAAACCATAAAACCATAGCTGCCCCAAATCTCCATTCTGTAACTTAAAACCATCAGCGAATACTCCAGTGCTCCCACCTCACCTTTGCTACCACCTTTCTTTAAACTAATCCTGTAATTAAGAGTAATAGACCCCGAGCTGGTAGCAAATAGAGCCATAAATAAACACTGGGGTAACAGGCAGATCACACCAGCTACTGTCTCTAATTTTGTGTGCCATGCGATTTATTAAGCTGCATTACATCCTTATTTATGGATTACAAATGATAACAGCAATCAAAATCCTATAGTGTTAAATGGGCTGGCACGCAATGAGCTGGCCAGGGTGGGCAGAAAAATCACTTGCAAAAATACCAGGGGACCCCATACACGACCTGAACAGGTTTTCCCCTGGACGAGCTGAGCTCAGGGATAAACCCATCCTGGAGGGTGATTTTCAGCAGTACCTGAGACCTGAAAAATGGGGAAACTGAGGCACAGAGCGTGTTGGTGGGGCGACAAGCTGACATTTCCTTGCTTTCCCCTTCTCATCTCCAAGTATTCCTAATAGCTCCTCGCTCGCCATGATGCATACACCCACCTCCAGCCGATGCATCACGCAGATGTTTCAACCTATTGCAACTAATTATCCATGGGATTTCCCATTAATTACTGGCTGCTCTTTGCCTTTAGCATCCCAGGAGTTGCTGTGGTGACTGATGCCCTGCTTTAATACCTGCAACCCCTCCTTTGTTCTGTTGCAGGTAGCGGCGCTGGAGAGGCAGATCTTTGATTTCCTGGGCTACCAGTGGGCACCAATCCTGGCTAATTTTTTACACATCATGGCTGTTATTTTGGGTATTTTTGGGACCATCCAGTACAGATCCAAATACCTCATGATGGTAGGTACTGCCATGGATACTGCTCCCTGTGCCTGGGGGCAGCAATGTCACCCCTGGGAATGGTTCAGCTCCAGGTCCCTTCCCTTCCCGTACCCAAAGCCAAATCCCTGTCGGTCGGGCGGGATCCAGTGAGGGGGGCAGAGGGGGGATGGACTGGGGGGGTGTCTGCGTGGCGTGGCGTGACCAGCTCTCTTCTTGGCAGTACGCGGTGTGGCTGGTGCTGTGGGTTGGCTGGAACGCCTTCATCATCTGCTTCTACCTGGAAGTCGGACGCTTATCGCAGGTAACCCACCCCCCCCCACCTGCCTCCTCTTCCTCCATCCCTTCCTCCCCATCTTCCCATCCTTCCTGCTGTCCTTCCTCTTCCTTCCCCTGCTCCACAGCTCTGACTGCTCTGACTGGTGGTAAAGCACCCGCCTGGGTGCTGGGGGAGCCTCCCTGGGGGCTCCCAGCTGCAGCACCAAGCATGTGTGGGATGGACAGACGGATGGTTCAGGCCAAGGAGGCATTGGTGGGGGGAGCTTCAAAGTGGGAGAGGAAAATTAATGAGGCTGACGAGTTGGGAATTGCAGGGCACTCGTTAATCACCAACGTGCTCTCAGCGCTGCCGGGTTTTATGGGGTGCAGAAACCGGATGGCACCGTTTCCTAATGTGCCAACGAGGAGATAAAGTAGAGAAGGGACATGGGGACTGGGGACGAGTGATGATGGGAAAGTTTGGGGCAGGGTCTCCAGCAGCTCAGCTTGCAGTGCAGGCAGGGATGGGCAAGGGAGGGGTGTGAAGAAGAGGAGACCCTCCTGTTGCAGGTTCCCAATTTTCTGGGGTCTTCTGGGGCTCTGTAAGTGCCGCTTGGCCTCAGAGCACTCAGCAGTGACATGAGAGCGGCTGCACATCATTAATGGCTTTGAAAAGTCACCCAGTGGTGATGGGGGTGAGGATGTGAGTGGGGCCGTGCATCTCCATGTCTCTCCGCCCCACCCTGCGCTGATCAATCATAGCTCTTGCACAAAAAAAAAAAAAAAAAAAAAGCAAAGCTTAATGTAGTGACAGCGCATCGCGGGGTGGTTTGGGCATCCTCAGCCACAGTTGGGGTACCCGTGCTGAGGACGTGCCCTGCTCTGGCACCCTGCTCCCGGCTCTGAGGACGCCGTCCCCTGTGCTGTGCTCGGGGCATCACAGAGCGCTCGGGGAAACAGGCTCGGGCTCACTCCGTGGCTGCCCACAGTGGGGAAAAAGGGCATGTTGGGGGGCCTGATGGGTGAAACCATCTTCTCATGTTGCTACAGGTCATGTGAGACTCTTCTAAAAAGCTGAAATGCTGGATACGTGCAGCAGGCACGGGGGATGCAATCAGGGAGGATTTACTCCCACTGAGTGTTTTCGGTGGAAATCCCCAATCTCTCAGTGACGCTGCAATAACAGAACACCCCCTCTTTGTGCTTCCCAGCACCAAAACCCACATCCTTTGGTTTTAGAAACCAAACCCCACTTTCTTTCTATTTTTTCCACCCCCACCCACAAAAATCTTTTACTCCCAGATCGGTGATTTCCTGCAAAGGATGCTCAGTGGGTTTCCCAGCCCCCTGCAGACCCATGGGCTGGCGGTGCAGAGGGGGGCTGGGAGGACCCTCCGTGGGGTGGGCGCTCACCCAGCTGTGCCAGGAGGACCCTCCGTGGGGTGGGCGCTCACCCAGCTGTGCTGCTGCTGCCTGCAGGAGCCCTGTGCGGGGGCTGCATCCCAGCCTGTGCAGTCCCCATCTCCCTGCCACATCCACGATGCCAGATTCCATCGGCATCGAACATGCCACGGTGTGTCCTGGGAATGAGCCCAGGGGCTTAGCCTTACACGAGCCTGCTATGGGGAGGGGGGCACGGGCAGGGGCTGGGGGATTAGCTCTGCATTTTATCCCACCCCGGTGACGGCCCGCAGCCGTGCCTTGCAGCGGGGGGGGGGGGGGGGGGGGCTGCTGCCCACTGCACTGCCCCCTCAGAGCTGCTGGAGATGAAACAGGGAGACCCCCAAAGCCTGGTAATGGGCTTACCAGGAAGGGACGTACATGAACGATGCCCCTGCAAGGCTCCATGGGCACCCTGAAACCCCAGGGGAAGCAGAGGGGATCACCCTGCATCCCTGGATCGTGCTGGCAGGGTGATCCCATGGTCCCAACTCTCAGGATGCAGCTAGCAGCATCACAAGCGTTTGCTTCCCTGCCTCAAGGCCAAACTGCTGCACTGGTGACTGTTCCATGACATCCGTGATGTCACCTGGGCATCACCAGTGCGCCTGGGTGCTGCTTGACCAAACGGTCCATGATGGTGTTGTGGGAGGAAGCCACAAACCCTGCAGACACTGGCTGCGGGTTGGGGAGATGCAGGGGTTTGTTGGTCACGCTGCAATAGCATGGTCTGGGTGGGGAGATGCTTGTGGAGCATCCTTGGGCTGGAAAAGCCCATTTTCTGTCCACCTCCTCTGCAAAGAACCTCAGATCCACGGTCTGTGCCTCCTTCCCTGCTCTCCTCCCACAGGACCGAGACTTCATCATGACCTTCAATACCTCACTGCACCGCTCGTGGTGGATGGAGAACGGGCCGGGCTGCCTGGTGACGCCGGTGATGAACTCCAACCTGGCACCCGAGGACCATCACGTCATCACGGTCAGCGGCTGCCTGCTCGACTACCAGTACATCGAGGTAGTGAGCAGTGCCACGCAGATATTCCTGGCGGTAAGGGCACCTTTCCTCATCCCGAATTGTGAAGCGATAGAGGGGGGGATGATGGAGAGAGGGACCAGGGTGGGCAGAGCTATTGTGGTGCAGCTGGAGATGTCCCACCGTGCCATCACATCGGTGCCCGTTTATAGCATCAGGGGTGGTGGTGGCTCAGGGCTGGGAAGAGAGGAGCAGACAGAGCCCATGCTAGCACCCCGGGGGTGCTGCCTGTCCCCAAACCCAGCAAGGTGTGTGCTGGATGCTGCAGGAATTGGGGGGTTCTCGGTGTAACACCCCCAGGAGCGTTGCTGGAGTGTGAGCCAGCGGGATGTGCCGCTTGCTGGAAGGGGAGGGTGACTGTCTCACCCCGTGGGGCGGTGGGAAGGGGACGTACCTGGATGCAAAGCTCCTGAGCCTCGAGCAGCTGCAAGAAAATAAACTTTAAAGGGAATTGGGGTCCAGAGCAGCTGCCATGCACCCACCAAACGGGCACCCAGTGCTGCATGGGGCTCAGCACTCTCTGCGCTGCTGCCCCAGTGTGATGCCAGCCCATCTCCCCCAGGAGCCACCACCGTTTTTCCCCCAGTGCAGCTGAAACCATCTGACCATGCTGCCTCCCAAACCAGCACCCAGACCCACCGGAGATGGGGTCCAGCACCACAGCATCCCTGCTTCTGCCCAGGGTCCCCCCCAGGATGCTCCCAGGCATCCACCTCGCAGCACCAGCCTCCATCCCCTCACCACCACCGTGCTGGTCACGGTGCCCATCACCCCCATGACCGACTTCGCTCTGCCGGCTTTTGTTTTGCAGCTCTTTGGCTTCGTCTATGCCTGCTACGTCAGCAAAGTGTTCCTGGAGGAAGAAGACAGCTGTAAGTGCTTTTGCTCTCAGTCACGGGGGAAAGAAAGCCACAGCATTGCAAAATGGCCTCGGCTGATGCCAGCCAGCACCTTGCCGGGGCAGCAGCTCCCGGTTGGGGATGAAGGAGCGATGCCTGGGTTGCAGGCAGGTGAAGGGACGGATCCCTTTCGGCGGGGCGTTTGTCCCATTTGTCCATCCCTGAGGAGGCAGACGCTCTGGGGGTGTGATGTGCCACCCTGTGCCACCAGTGGGCCCCCCCTGTCAGCCTCGGGGAGGGTGCTGCAGCCTGGCCAGGGCTGGGAGACGAGGAGGAGAGGGACAGCGAGCCCTGAGCTGCCGCATCTCCCACGGGACTGCAGCACTCACAACCTGATGCGGGTGCAGGAATGGGACCGGTTTCGTCCAACACGTGGGGTTGGGCTTCATCCTCTCACCAGCCCATGAAGAGGCTGAGATGGTCCCCAGTGCCCAGTCCCTGGTCCCCACACTGGCATCACGGCACCGAGCCCAGTGCCCGCTGCAGCCGGGATGCTCATCCCTGTGCGTGGCTGCTCAGGGGTGGGTTTGGGGCTGACATCACTCTCACTGCTCCCTGCTGACCCGAATTCAGAGCACCTCCTCCAGGAGAGAACATCTCTCCCAAGTCCCTGGTCTGGTGTGGCAGTGAGGAGAATCACCCTTGCTGGAAAGAGCTGCCTCCACGCCCTGATAAATTCATGGCAAATGCTCCTCCCGGTGCGGATCTGGCCCCATGGGGGCTGTGGAAGAACCATCCTCCCCACTCCCAGCACCAGCCATCACCTGCCTCCCCCTTTCAACAGCCACCTGGGGCTTGGGGATGATGAAATGAGAAATATTGTGTCCCCCTGGCCAGCATCCCCATGAACAGTGGGGTGGCAGAGCCCTCCTCCCCACCTCCAGGGTTTTCACCCCAAAAGAGGGGGAAATCCAGCAATTTAAGCGAAGTTACAGGCTCATTTTTATAAAATCTATATCGCGCTTTCCGATCTGACAACGATCCCTGCAAACGCCCCTCCGGAAGCGCTGAGCACCCCAGCCCCAATTAACCAGGTGGTTAAGGCTGTAGCCATCCAGCCGCATTAAATGCTCATCTGCCATTAATTAATTCGCGCCAGCTGGCAGCTCCCGGCAGCCAACCGCAGGCAGGGATGTGCCGCAACCGCCGGCGCGGCAAAAGCCACCCAGATGCGCTCAGCACCGGGCTCCTTCCCCGCAGCAGCGGGATCAGCATCTCTGCCCGCGCCACGGACCCAGAAATTCACCCAGCCCAGCCCAGGAGATGCTGGGGTTCAGCATCCCCACATTTTTCCCCCTCCGCTGCCAGGAACTGGTGTAGCGGAAAAGGAAAATCTCCGTGTGAAATTGGACACTGCCTGCGGTAATAACTTGTTTCTGTACCCAGGGAGCTGGCAAAGGGGTTTATCTACCGCCGCCGGCTTTGAAGCGTGTTTGCATTCAAACAAACTCTTGCATTCAATACACTTTTAATATTAATGCTGCTGGAGCCCAAGATTCAAATGCATCTTTTTTAATGGAATATCTTATTAGATTTAGAAATGGATGGATGGCGTCAAAATTGAGAGCTGGCTGAATATTAAGTCGGGAAGATAAATATGCTGGGAGAACTGGGCTCCCCACTCGAGCTCACTGCTGTTCCTTGGACACCCGGGTGTGAACCCACCCAGATCACAGCTCCGTGGGGGTGAATATATTGGTTTTAGGGAGATGGGTCATGCTACGGCTCCTGTAACGGCTTGGATACCCCAGCCTGGCTGTGCGTGGTGCCTCTTCCTGGCCTGGCTGAGCAGCCACTGGCTGGGCCCGTGGGAGGGCTTCGGTCTCGGGGCACACAGGATGGCCGTGGGAAATGTTGGGGTACCCTCAGCCACCCACAGCTCCCGCTGCATCCAGCCGGGATGAAGGGCTGGGATCCGCTGCTCTGGTCCCTCCAGAGTGCCGGCGGGCTCGCTGAGCGAGCGCTGGGCTCTGCCGGCCGGAGGGGGATGAACCGCCCGGCTGGAAATCACAGCCGTGAAAACTGATATATTGGTGCCTGCAATTCCCCTAAATGACAGGCTTTAAACGAGATGTAATTCCCCCATAATTCTTCTTAAATGCCCACTCTGGAGACAATGATAGGGTAATTTTACCCACTTTGTCCAGCCTGCGACGCAAAGGCTGTTGTGGTGAGAAGAGAGCCGCAGGGATCTCTGCAAGTCAGTCGGGCTCCTTTCCTCTGTTTCTTGCTGGCGTTTTCCTGGGATGCTGCCATGACCTGGGATGCTGCTGGGACCCCGGATGCTGCCACAACCTGGGATTCAGCATTTCCCCAGGATGCTGTGGTGACCTGGGATGCTGCAACGACCCGGGATGTTGTGGCGTCCCGAAATGTTGCAGCAACCCAGGATGCTGGGGTGACCTGGGACGCTGCGTGTCCCCAGGATGCTGCGGTGACCCGGGATGCTCCTGCATACTGAGATGTTGCATTTCCCTGGGTTGCTGTGGTGACCAGGGATGCTGCGCTTCCCCGGGATGCAGCTGCAAGCTGTGATGCTGCAGTTCCCTGGGATGCCGTGGGAACTTGGGATGCTGCATGACCCACGGGTGCCACTGGGGTGGGGGGGGGGGGGGGGGACAGAGAAATTGCCCTGCTGCCCTCCCCAGCTCACCTCGCTGCTCTCCCCACTCTCCCCAGTCGACTTCATTGGCGGGTTTGACTCCTACGGCTACCAGGCGCCACAGAAGACGTCACACCTACAGCTACAGCCGCTCTACACGTGAGTCCGTGCCAGGGAAAGCCTTGGGGATGCTCGGGGGGCTCAGGGGTGCAGGAGCCCCTCCAAGGTGCCTCGTCACACCATCATAACCCAAAAGATTTGGGTCTGTGAGTCCTCTCAGCCTCAGTATAAAGCCCAGAGGCTCTGGCGAGGCTGGAGCTGGGCAGTTTTAGGGGGGATCGTGCCTTGTTTTGCTTTTTGCTGCTTTTTGTTTGCTGAGCCTCAACACGCTGGAGCTGCCTGGGGGGAGAAGCAGCTCTTCAGATAAGTGCAGCTGACTTTTTTTTTTTCCTCTCCCTTGCCCATTAAGCTTAACTAGATAAACGCTCAAATGAGATAAGGCTGCAAAATCTAAAGGGATTAGCCTCGTGCAGGCTTTGCTGGATGCCAAAAATTAATTATATTTTAAGCCTTCTATGCAAACTCAAGGGCACGCCATGCAATTAGAGATGCAATGAGGGGGCTGCAGTGGAACAAATGCATTTGTGACATTGCTCGGCCCTCCCTGGGTGTTTGGGCACAGTCTCTTGTGTGCCTGCCCTGGTGCATGGGGGCGGATGAGCACCCATGGGTGCTGTGTATCCCACACCAAGCTAGTCCTTCCCCATGAGCCCCCCAGCCCTCCCGGGGTGAATGGGGGATGGCAGGACGGGAGCTGCCTGGGATGGGGACGTGGATGGTGGCACTAGTGTTTCACCATGGTGTCACCCTGGGGTGGGAGCGGTGCCAGCACCCACACCCTGGGGATTGATGTGGGTGTCCTGCCCTCCCCAAACTGGCTGTCCCCCCCCCGGGGGGGACCCAGGAGAGCGTTTTCCCACAGATGGGACATGTCCCACGGGTGGTGTCCACCAGGGAACCCCGTCAGCCCTGCCTTGGTGGGACAGCGCAAAGCCACTGTGGCAAAGACGGGCAGTGGGGAGGGCAGGGACTGGGGGGAGCCCTGCCTGACCCCCCCCCACCACCACCTGCAGCTTCCAGCAGCATGGGGGGAGCACGGCGGGGTGCCAGAGGGCTGCTGTGGGCCCAGTGCTCCCTGACAGCTGCAGGATGAGTGCTGAGAACGGCAGCATTTGGGGATATGGGCAGGAATATCAATTTTAGGGAGGGGAAATGTCAATTTTAGATATACAGGAGACCCAAAAGCTGATGGCGGAGAAACTCAGTGCTGAGATACCAGGGTGGGGGAGACCTCAGCGGGATGCAGAGGTGCAGGGGAAACCCCTCTCCTCCCTTACAAGATGTTTAACCTGATCCTGTATCGTCTGCAAAACCCAGCCCCCCTCCAGGGCTCCCCCAGCTGCCCAGGACCTGATTTGGGGTGATGGGGGGGGGTTGAGGTTGCATGGCTGGGGGGTAGGTTGTGTGAAGCCCCCCAGATACCAGAGCATCCCACCCTGAGGTGCTGCTGGGGCTGGTGCTGCCTCCGGCCTCGCTCCCTGCCTGCAGCACCCCGTGGGTGGGTGAACCCCAAAACCCTCCGTGGGCAGCGTGTGCTGGGGGCTGCCGGCTCTCACCCTGCCTGCCGGGCTGGCTCGGGCAGCACTCCTCGTCATTAGATTGCTTCCTAATTAATCAAGCTGACTTGGGCTTTCTGCAGGCAGGACCGAGGGGGGCTGGTCACAGCTGGGACCCTGCCACCACACTGCCAGCTCCCCCATGCCCACAGCCCTCTCCATCCCACCCCAGCAGCTCCTTAATAACCCACTACTTAATTAACGCTGCAAGCATTTACATCAAGGCGCCTGCATCACCCTGACAGCGGTGGCAGGTCGGGCTCATGGACTCAGGGGGACACACCCTGTACCCAGGGTGGGAGACACCGGGTCCTGCGGTGGCACGGTGACACCCGGGGGGGACCTGAGGGGGTGCTGGGTCAGTGGTAACCCCACCTCGGGGAGGGGGGCACCGGGGGGCTCGCTGCCACCCAGCATTGGTGAGAGGACATACAAGGTGCTGTCCTGGCTCAGTGGAGTGGATCTGTCCCCTTGTGTCCCCAGGGGCCAGCCGGGCAGGACAGAGAGGGGCTGTCATCCTGCCCTGAGAAATTAAAGCTCGTTCTGCAGTTACCAATTAGCTATAATTGGATTAATGGCGGGTGCAGGGGAGGGTTTCCACCCAGCGGGAGGAGAAGGATGTGCCACGCCAGCACCCGCTCCTCGTCCTCTTGGGTCCCTCCGGCCCGGCCAGCGTGGCAGTGGGTCCCCACATGTCACATCCCCCCCGCCCCGGGATGGGGGCTCTCACCTCCCAAACCCCTCTTGTAGCACATCAGGAAGGGGGGAAGCGCAGGCTGGGAGCTGGGAGCTGAGACCTGGGCAGTTGTGACAGGGGTGTGCGAGAGAGGGGGGGGTCTGCAGGAGGGGGGGGGGGGGGCCTGCAGGGGGGCCCCCTGTGCTGTCCCAGGGGGGATGCGAGGGGCTGTGTGTGTGGCCTGAGCCGGGGTCCGGCTCTCCCCACGCAGCGTAAACGTTCACAGGTACACACGAGGACAGACAGCAACGCCCGGGCGTGCGCGCACGTGCATGCACGCAGACCTGCCCGTGCACACACGCGTGTGCAGACACACATGCACATGCCTGCACACGCCTGCACACGTGCTCAGGGCGCAGCCAGGCCCCCAGACCCCACCAGCTGTTGCTGGGAGGCCACTGCCCACGGGGAGGGCTGGCAGCACGCTGGGGGGACGGGCAGCGTGTGCCCCCGCCGTGGGCAAGGGTCCTGGGCCCCTCCATGTCCCCTCTGTGCCGCAAGCAGCTGGGGACAGGTGGGCAGGACCCCCGATGTCACCGCGGGGGGGGACATCAACCCATTGGGGCTTGGTCCCAGTTGCTCTCTTACATTCCAGGGGGGTGAAACGAGGGCGGTGGCCATGTGAGAGCCACCTGGGGTCCCCCCCAGCGGGTCCCTGTCCCCTGGGATGGGCAGTTGGCAGCTGCCCGTGGCCGTGACTCCTCATCCCCGTGTGGGGACGCGGCCGTGGCACCTTCGCGGGCTCGCCCCAACCTCCCGCTCTCCTCTTCTCTCCCCAGATCTGGGTAACCTCCTCCTGCCCTGGATCCGGCCCGGCGTGGGAGCCAGAGGTGACAGGACCCCCCCCTAGAGCGAACTGTCCCACACCCGATGACACGAACCCTGGCGAGGGGGGGGACACGCAACTCTGAGCCACCCCGGTCCCCTCCTGCCTCCCCACACCCTGCAAGACCCCCGAAAACGGAGCCAGGAGCTGCACATCCACCCCACCCTGGATGCCTCCGAGCCCAAACCATCCACCTACAGCAGGATTGGGGCGGGGGGGGGGGGGGGAGGCTGGATACAGGGGGACCCCCCCAAGCCATGCCACCCCCTCAGGCTCCCACACCCTCCCTAGGATGGGGACACGGGGACACACGGGGAGGTGGCATCACTCGCCGGACACTGTTTTCTTCTGTTTCTCCCAGCCTGGTTTTTCCTTGGAGCAGCGGGGCCCTTCCCAGCGTGCCGGGCAGGAGCGGGATTGGGGCAAAAACCAGCCAGTTTGGAGCAAACTGGGACAGTGGCTGGGGGATAAACACCGTGTTGGGGACAGCAGGGCACAGGGAGCAGCTTCGTCCTTCGTAGGGTTGGGACGATTTCCTGAAACACAGGGTTTGGGAGTCGGGTTGGCCCTGAAAATGGGGGTTTTGGTCCCAGCCCCCCCAGTTGGTTGAAACAGCACCGAAGGGGCTCTGTCCGGGATGCTCCCCTCACTCTGAGGAGCTGGATCTGGCCATCAGCATCTTGACTCAACCTCCCGAAATCTGGGGACGTGGGGACTGAGCACCCCAAAATCCCCCTGCAAGCCCCCCCATCCTTCCCCATTTTGGGGGGATCTTGCTCAAATTTGGCAATACTGACGCTGCTTTTGACACAGTCTCTTTCTGGCTGTTTTAATGAATCTAATGAATGTTTTAGGTTGATTTTTTTTTTTTTTTTTTTTTTAAGTATTGGGGTTTTATTTTAAAGTGCCTGAGTAGACTCTGGCTGAGCACACCCCCCCCAGTGAGCCTGTGCTGGACCCCCCCCAACATTGACATCGTGCCTTCAGCCACGCTCTTCCCACCCCGGGGCTGCCCTGGGGCCCCCGGCCCCTTGCCCAGGGCTGGGGGGGAGCAGTTTGGTGCCTCTCTGATCCCCCCCCAGCCCCTCCATCCATTCGGGGGCCCGGTGGCAAATCCACCCATCGGGTTTGGTGGCAGAACAGGGGCGATGTTGGCACGTGGGGAATAATTATTTTGCAGGGGGTGAATGTGCAAGGTCTGTTGGGCAGCAATCACTTTGCAAAATGAAACGAGATGGGAATTAAAAACCTTGGAAGAAGCTGGAAGGAAAAAAGTAGTTTCATGAAACGTCTCAGCTCCCCCCAACCTCCTCGTTTTCCTTTCTTTCCCAGAGGTGGGATGCGGTTTCACCTGGCTCCCTGGATCTGGCCCCAAGCCCACCCTTTGTGTCTGGGAGCAGGGGAGATCACATGAATTTTGGATCCCAGACATGTTTCCTCCAGTCCGGGGGGGTTATTTGGGGATTTTTTTTGCACCCTGGAGTGATTTTTTTTTGTCCTTCCCAACAAGCAGCCGTGAAGTGCCAAGGACCGAAGCTGCCCGAGCCCAAACCCTGGGCAGGGGATGGGCTGCATCCCCCCGCCAGCCCCTCCACTGCCTCCAGCTAAGCTGCGAACTTTACAGGCAATAATTTTTCTGCCCTTTCCTCCTCTTTTTCCCAAGGAAAATAGTGGTTTTCAGGCAACGGATCCCCCCATTCCCTAAAACACATTCCTATCCCAAGCGCTGCCCAGCCCCAGGGACAGCAGCACCTCTGGGGTTTATTTTCTTCTCCAGGACCAAGGATGCTCTTGCTGACCCGCTGTGAGATGGATGGGATGGGATGGGATGGGATGGGATGGGATGGGATGGGATGGGATGGGATGGGATGGGATGGGACGGGATGGGCAGACATCTGCCTGCTCAAAACCCCTCTCAAACCCAGCAGGAAGCAGAAGGAAGAGCTTGCCATCATTTAAAACTCATTCACAAGAGCTTCCCTCCCTCCTGAGCTCAGCAGGAGCCAGGCACTGGTGCTCCGCGACCTTTTTTTTTTCTTTTCCGTTGGCTTGTTTTTATATAAGACTGTATTTGTAACGTGAACCGAGGATTTCTTTTCTATTCTGTAACTATAAAAGTTGAAGGAAAGTTTCACCCGATGGCTGTTCTGGTTTTGGGGTATTTCCCTTCCTTGTGCAGTTGAATTGATTAAAAAGTGGTGGGGTTTTGATTTTGCTTCCCCCCTCTTTAATGCTCCCAGCTCCCTCCCATGGGCTCTGCAGCACCCAGCTTTCTGCTGCCTTATAGCCCAGCACTTCTTTTTAACGATGCCCTGGCAAGATTCTGCCTCCCTCCTTGCTGCCTGCGCAAGTAGTTTCCTTCCTGGTAGTAAAATAACAGAAAAAAAGGAAAAAAAAATGAAAAAAAAGAAGCAGAAAAGCAGCATCCTCCGGGCTGGGTGTGGGTCCTACCCGCCACGTGACAGGGGATGTGTCAGTGGTCAGTGCATCCCATCCCTCTGCAGGGGGGCGGCTGGGGGGGTCTGCAGCCTCCCTCCCCCTAAAAGAAATACTACTAAATCCCCAAGAAAAATATTAAGAGCACTCCCAGGGTGTTTTTTCAGGTTGAACTCCTGAAATAAAACTTTCCAGCCCTGCCAGGGGCAAGGGTAAGAATTCCCCAGTGGGAGATGCCAGGTCACGGACACATCCCCTTGGGGAAAGTTTCCTTTTCTCCCTAAATATTCACATTTTCCATCACTAAAGCAGTATTTTTAATTTCATTCAATGCCACCCCTTCAGGGTGCCACGTGCTTCACATGTGGTTTCATTTGAAGTATCCAAGACCATTTCACTTGCTCTACTTTTAATTGATTTCAAAGGAGAGGTGGTCACCTTCTGCTCCCATCCTCTGCCTTGGGTTTTTCTCCACTTTGCTGCCTTTTCTAGCTACAGGGGAGAAGGAAGGGGGTGATGACATTGAATTAAATCTTTGTTTTTAAATCAAAATGGAAATGTGGTGAGGCTGGGGCAGCAAATACTGTGTCTTCAGTGACAGCTCCTTCTCCCCTGGGCTGATCTTCCTGTGGTGCTTCTGCTCAGCAACCCCCTGCCATGGCATTTTGTCACTGGCTTTTGGGGGACACAGTGATTGTTCCCAAATTTCTCTCCCTGAGGGAAGTGAACCTTCATTCTCATAAGGATCCTCCTGTCCCCAGCCAGGAGCTGGCGTGGGGAGAGGCTGGAGCATGGCAATGCCACCCCCAGTAGCCCTGGGTGCCCCTGGACTGGAGTCGGTGGCCCTGAGTAGATGTCACCAGGTCACCCACAGGTCCTGCTAGCTCAGCTCTTCTTCAGGATCCCATCCCCACGGTCCTGTCTTTAATAGAAAAGACTAAAAGCAGGTTTCCAGGCCTAAAATCCATGGATTTTAGGGGGGTTGTCCAGGGTTGGAGGAGCCACAGGTTTTGCCCTGGCCCTGGGGACAGGGGCAGGCAAGTGTTGCCCCAGAGCAGTGGGTGCAGGGATGAAGGCGGCCCCCACTGGGGCACAGGGGTTTCCGTGGGTGTGGGGGGAGATGAGTAACCCCCAACCCTGAGCAAGTCCCCAGGAAAGGGACCCCAAGGACCCCCCCATGGGGGTGCACCTGCTGAGGAGGGTGAGGGCAGCACTGCCACCGCCTCTGTGGGTGATGAAGAGTGTTTGGGTGAAGCCTGATCAAATAAGAGCTATCTCCCACCTTGTGGGTATCAAGGAAGGGGAGAGGATTTTTGAGGGGGGCATGAGCAGGGATGGAGGCCTGTTTCTATGACAACAGTGAGACTAGTCGGACCTTGTGGCCATGGACAAGGGAAGAAGAGGGTCAGCATCCTCACAGTCCCGATGGAGCATCTCACGGCTGCGCTGCTGGAGCATCTCATAGACACGCTGCCAGAGCATTTGTGGCCATGTTGCCGGAGCATCCCACGGACACACTGCTGGAGCATCCCACAGACACGCTGCCAGAGCATCCCACGGACACGCTGCTGGGCCATCCCACGGACACGCTGCCAGAGCATCCCACAGACACGCTGCCGGGCCATCCCATGGACACACTGCCAGAGCATCCCACGGACACACTGCCGGGCCATCCCACGGACACGCTGCCGGAGCATCCCACGGACACACTGCTGGAGCATCCCACGGACACACTGCCGGAGCATCCCACGGACACGCTGCCAGAGCATCCCACGGACACACTGCCGGGCCATCCCATGGACACACTGCCAGAGCATCCCACGGACACACTGCCGGGCCATCCCATGGACACACTGCCGGAGCATCCCACAGACACGCTGCCGGAGCATCCCACGGACACATTGCCGGGCCATCCCATGGACACACTGCCAGAGCATCCCACAGCTGCACTGCCAGAGCATCCCACGGACACACTGCTGGGCCATCCCACAGACACGCTGCCAGAGCATCCCATGGACACGCTGCCAGAGCATCCCATGGACATGCTCCCGGAGCATCCCACGGACACACTGCCAGAGCATCCCACAGACACACTGCCGGGCCATCCCACGGACACACTGCCAGAGCATCCCATGGACATGCTGCCGGGCCATCCCACGGACACACTGCTGGAGCATCCCACAGACACGCTGCCGGGCCATCCCACGGACACACTGCCGGAGCATCCCACAGCTGTACTGCCAGAGCACGTCACAGCTGCAGTGCTGGAGCATCCCACGGCCACGCTGATGGAGCATCCAGGGCTGGGCTGTCGGCACACCCGCAGCTGTGCTGTCGGAGGAGGCAGCCAGGGAGGGAGGAGGAAGCCTGTTTGCCTGCCCACACCCATCGATCTACCTCTTGCAAAACAACCTCCTGCTGCCCAGCCCCGTCCCAGCTCCAGCAGCCTGCCCGGGCATGCCAGGAAACCCTCTGAGTGTAACACTGATCCAGCCTTCGGCCTCATCATGCCCCATGTTCTGCCTCCCGTTCCTTGGAGGGGGCTGGTAAGGAGAGGTGAGCACCAAACTGGAGGGTTCTTAAAGTGTTTTTCAATTAAAATCTTGATTTTTGGGAGGTATCTTCCAGTTTATTGCACAATGCTTGCGGTCATAAAATATGTTGTCCTTTATCTGGCATGGATTGGGTCCCTTTGGAGGTGGCTGCCGCAGTGAAAGGTGGTTGTGGGGCTGGGAGACATCACCCAGGAGAGGGAAATAAAACCCCATTGTGTGCACGTGCTGGCTGGATAATGATTACAATGGGAATTAATTCAGAAACAGGTCCGGAATATGCGTCAGGGATTTTTTATGTGGGTGCTGCCATGGCACAGCTGGTGAGCTGCCTCCCAGCAGGGATCTGAGCACACTGGGAAAGTGGCACTGGTGAGACCGGGAAATATGGGGGATGGCTCCAAGAGCCTTGACGGGAGGGATTTTAGGGTTGTTACTAACCTGACCCTAAGTCAGAGCAGGGCAACGGCTTTCTGCAGCCCTGGGCTCCCGTCAGTGCTGGCCTGAGGTTATTTCCAGCAGCCCCTCCGTAAGCCATGGCCACCATCGCCCGCGCGTGGCCACCATGAGGGAGATGCCTCCCGGCTCCAAAACATCCCTGCAGCACCAAAAAAAACCAAAAAAAAAAAATAATAATAAAAAAAATACTTAGGAAGCTGCTTTAAAAGCAAAAACTCCACACTCTGACTGGGGGCAGGGCCTTGTTTCTGGGCATCCCCGGGCGGGGCGCGGCATGCGGGTGCTCTCGGGTGCTGCTGAAGCCACCGCACGCACCGGGGGCGGCTGACAGGGCTCAGCACCGCGCCGAAGCGTGGCCCCGCCAGGAATCCTTCCCCCGGCTCCACTGGGAAAAAGGTGATGGGTTTTGCTGGTCTGGACCAGGGTCATATATTTAAAGTTTAAATATTTATTTACTTAGCTAGCTATTTTAATATAGCATTTATTTACTTCTAAAACCTGTATATTTATTTATTTATAAGTAAATATATTAACTTCTTTATTTATTCATAGTCAATAAAAATAGTTTAGTCATCGTAAGTAAATATATTAACTTATAGTAAATAAAAAGATTTATTATAAGGAAATATATTAACTTATTTATTTATTGTAAATGAAAACAATTTATTATAAGCAATATATTAACTTCTTTATTTATAAGTAAATAAAATGAATAAATAAGTTTAAAAAGTAAATCAATAAATAAAAGATAAAGTATCAATCTACATCTGTAGATAAAGGATAAAACTCTATTGGGGGGGTCTCAGGAGTTACAACAAGACAGATTTGACAGATTTTAATATCTTCTAACAAAGGAGCTTTTTTAAGCCAAAGTGCTAGCCTGCTAAAGCCAGTTTTAGAAGCTTTTCCCAACCTGAGTGCTGGGAAAACATGTTCAGTGGTGAATTTGTGTCGTTTGCTCAGTGCTTGTGGCCAGCAAGATGTCCCAGGAGGACAGGAGGGCTGAGATTTGCTTCGCAGATAATAAATGGTATGGATTTAGGGCTGGAAATTCAGAGGATGGTCCACGTGTCTCCGCCAAGGCAAAGCCAGCAGCATCCCAGCCCTCTCCATAGAGAGGCAGAGAGGAAGAATTCGGGAGATAGAGGAAAACTGACCATCTGCTTCCCAACATGTCCCTCCTCTGCATTTCCTTGTCGCCCCTTTTCCCATGGGCATTCCCCTCCAAACTTCTACTTGCAAATTCAGAGCTGCATTGACCAAGCGGGATCATTTGGAAATGGCAAAACCAGCTCAGGACCAGCTGCCGAAACCCAAAGTGTGATTTTCCTGGGGGTGTCACAGCTCCTTTTCCTTGCAATCCGA